CTGCCGAGTTGCGGCCGTAGTTTCCTGCCAGAAGCCCACGGCCACAGCCACGGGACTCGGCGGCACGGCGTTTCGGTCCACGGCTTGCTGCCGCCGCCGTCGCAGGGGTGCTGCCTGCGGCGGCGGCGGCACGGCGTTTGGGTCCTCGGCTTGCTGCCGCTGCCGCCGCCGCAGGGGTGCTGCCTGCGGCGGCGGCGGCAGCGCACGTGGCAACCCCCCACGTTTCCTTGCCTCCCATCCACCGGACCCCGTCCTGCGCTTCACTTTGTTTAGGGAGGGGCTGCTCACTGCTCATTGCTCATTGCTCATCGCACACTGCTCAACGCTCATTGCCCTATATCCCACCCAGCCGCAGGACTCTACTGCCGCCCGCGCCCCGCCCCATCTGGCCGCTTGCGCGCCCCATCCCCCCTCGATGGGGCCCGCCCACACCGGGGCCTCCCCCCTCCCGACCACTGCTTTCTCAACGGCCCCGAGCCGGGGCTGCCCTCATTGCATACATAGTGCGCCTTTCCCTGCTTTTCTAGTGACCTAGCGTTCCGCACTGCCGTTTGGCCAGCCCATGCTCCCGTACCGTTGCGTTTCTCCCCAATGCGCCATGCCACTTTGCCAGTCATACACACGTTTCGATGCGTGCCCTGTCAGCTGCTTGCGTTGCATGTCGCCTTGCTCCACCCCTGTTTTATTGCTTTCTCTGCTTTCGCCCGGTTCCCGTCCCATTTCGGCGGGGAGTCTATGTTGCAAGCTAGTTCTTGCTTTACCAGACTTTAAGCCCACACAAGCAACAAGCACAAGCATGCAAGTCGCACTACTGCGCCCCCTTCCCCTCCGAGAACGCCTATGGGTTATGCCAGCCCAAGCTGCCCATCGGGTCGACCTGGAAGGCCTCAAACGACTGCGCGGACGGCTTTTACTATAGCCAAACGAAGAAGTGCGTGGGGTGCATCACTAACGGGGATTGCAAGTCTGGAATTTGCAACCGCTACGACACCCCACACCCCAAGGGTGTGTGGCCGCCTCTTCGATAGCCTGCCCTGCCGCTCCACGTGCACGGCTCAATGCTGTGCCGGCTCCCAGTGCAAATTTGATCGGTTGCGTGAGGGCAGTTTCTGCCAGAAAAATTGATATTGAGCCGTCAGACCTCCAGAATGCTCTGCCTGTCTGTCTGTTACACCCTTCAGGAGCAAGTGAATGTTGTGGGCCTCCACACCATCAGTTGCCCCTGCCTTGCACTCTCCTCTCGTGCGTGTTCTTGCTGAAAACAGGCTGTGCCCTCCCCAAATGAGCGCGCGGTGCTGCTGCTTTTGCCCTGCTGTTCTTTCCAACCATTCCCTTCCTGTCTCTCATTCTGCCCTCATGGCCAGCAGACATGCCGCCGCCTGGGCCACCTGGGCAGCGGCTGCGCAATGCGCTCCCCCTCCCCTCCCCTTCAATGTACCCCTGCTTGTTCTTTCTGGAAAACAGACTGTCCCAGTGTAATGCCACACAGTCAGTTGAGGCATGGTTTGATGCAGGCTACACTGCCGCCGAATGGGTGCCCAGCGACAAACGGTGGCAGCACCGGCGGGATGCTGCATGCTGCGGCACAGCTGGCACACCGCCGAGACGAGAGCCTCTGAAAGCGGCAGCCGGCAGCTCGTCGGCAGTGGAGAACCGGCCAGATGGGCAGCCATGTGTTAGCCAGCATGTGCAGCGCTTCTGCTCCATTCTGCGTGAGCGGTGGAAGCCTCCCTGCATGCATCCGTCAATTTCCAACCTCCGCCGCCAGCTCTTGCGGCAGGCGCCGCCGCTCGCGGCGCCGGCTGGGAGGGGCCAGTGCATGCTCCTTCTGCTCTCTTGCACTCAACCGCGTGCCAGAAGACCCATTGACGAGGAGCCAACCATGCGGCTGGGGGCGCAAAGTGCCCTGTGCCTCCATCCACGTGGATGGAACCCTTCCAACACATGAAGCCCTTGATCAGCATTTCACTTGCGCCGCTTCCAACGAGTCCCCCGTAGCACCGATCGGCCATGGAGCGCCCGCCTATCGGGGCTCCATGGCCGATAAATCGGTGCTACGGGGACCCTCTTGTTTGCGGCCCTCCTGGCGCTGGCGTGGGCCGCTGCAAGCGTGCCGGTGAGCGGTGGGCAACTCCAAGGGGCGGTGAGGGCCTTGCTGGGTAGGGGCCGCGGGCTCCCGGCGGCGGTGCCCGGCGGACGCCGCAAACATAAACGACATGGGCGGCTCCAGGACGTGTGCTCTGTATACTGGGTCACATTCAACACAGATAAAGCAAGTGTAACTTGGCACCTGCGAGTTGTGGGCCCCACACTCTCCTGCCTCCCGCCCTGTTGATTGACTTGCAGATGGTGGAAGGGAAGAAGGGCTGCGTGAGACCAAAGTGCCCGGGTCGCCCTCGCGTGCCGGGTAAAAAGACGAAGCTGTGCTTGGGGCCGAAGTGCCGCGCCGCAGCCCACCGCCCCCGCGTAAGCTGGGATCCAATGTCGGGGGCCTCCCTCCATACGCTGAATGCGACCAGGACTGGCAATGTTCTTCGGGAGTGTGAGTGGCCCAAGAGCGAGCCGCCTGTGTTGATGAAACACTGCCCGGCTAGCTGTGGCCTTTGTTGTTGCGGGATGGGCCACCACCCTGTGCGCAGCGCCGCTGGGTACATCTGGGCGTTGTGTGGGCAGCCCCTGGGCCACATTTCTAAACGCAGCACACATGTCTGCCCTCCGCAGGTGCCTGCAGTGGCAATGGCCTCCTATTTGTGGTCCGGTGAATGCTTGGAATGAGTGCCGTGAGAACCGCGAGTGCAAAGCGGGGCTCACCTGCGACCAAGGCTTCCTGGAGGCGAGTCGGCAGCCCACCTGCCAGACTGCCCGACTGAATGACCAACTGGCCTCGCGCCGTGAGGCGGGCGGCATCTCGGAGCCCTGCCATGAGTCATGGCAGGGAGCATGCCAAGTCGGTGCGTGCAGCCTGCCGCCCACGCTGCCGCCCGCGCTGCCGTGCCCCCCCTCCCTGGTTGCAGTGTCTGGAAGCCAACGCGCCCCCTGGAGCCCCGTGCGGGGTGGATTCTACCTGCCAGTCGGGCGATTGCGACGATGATGACGAGGTGTGCCGCTAGGCTCACTGACTGCTGCCCAGGCATGCCCGACACGTGACGTCGCACTTCTGCGACCCCGCCTCCGACCCTGCCACCTGGGACTGCTCCGCGGCATCGCCTCGACCCGTCCGGCGATAATGGCTGCGCGAGAGGCGCGAGTGGCGCGCTGCTTTGGCGGCTTGCCCTGTCGCTGCACAGCCCAGTGATGTGCTGTCTGCCTGAAAGTTTCAGAGTCGGCAGTCCGCCGTGCACCTCCCGCCCACTCTGCCCCCTTCGAATTCGCACCCTTTGGCTGATTGGTTCAGCAACCTGCTACTAAGAAGAGAATGTATACGTGCCTGTAACGAGGCCCAGTTCAAGTTGCAAGTGAAGGGAAGTCAGCCCTGGCCCAGGGCCCCTGGGCCTTTCGCTGCATGACGCTGCGCCTGCGCCCTGGTGCTGAGTTGGCGGCGCCCTTGGGCTGAGTTGGTAGCTTCTGAGGAGACGCCGTACCCGCCTCACTTCATTATCGGCATGCTGCTCTACAGTGCGATAACGACGAGCCTGCCCGGCGCTGAGAAGCAGGCCGGGCATAGAAGCTCCGAGCCGACCTCGGCACGCGCCCGGGAGCTGACCTACACGCACCCGCTGGGCCTGGATTCAGTGAGCCGGCATCGCCCCCGCTGCGCTGGCCGGGCGGGCGGCTCCGCTGGGCTGCAGCCGCTGGGCTGCCGCTGCCGCTCTGGTCGCCGACCCCTCCCTCCCCCTTAGCTGCTGCAGTGGCGCAAGCTGGGGCAGGGCGTGGTGGACTTCGTGGCCGACTACTACAGGTACCTGCACCGCACCGACACGCCCGTCATGAGCGCCGCCCAGCCCGGCTTCCTGCGCGCGGTGCTGCCGACTGCCCCGCCCGAGCGTGGAGAGCGACTGGAGGCGGTGCTGCATGATGTGAGGTGAGGGGCGGCTGGGAGGGGGCCCCGCAATGGGAATGGCGGTCAATTTCGGGCGCATGTCGCAGCGGTGGGCTTGCCGGACCAGCCACACGTCTCTCCAAACGCGAGGCTGCTGCCAGCCAGCCGCATTGCATGAGAGCAGGCCGCCGCCCGCCAGTTTTGTCTGCCGGCTGCAGGCCTGGCACAGCCGGGTAGCTTGCCCAGCCTGCCCGATCCGCCGCCAGGCACCGCTCCCCCGCAGGACACACATCATCCCAGGCCTCTCCCACTGGCAGTCCCCCCGCTTCTTTGCCTACTTCCCCATGAACACCAGGCATGTGTGTGGTGTGTGCGTGTGTGATGTGTGCGCGTGTGTGTGTGATGTGTGCGCCTGTCTGTGCGCGCGTGTGCATGTGTGACGTCTGTACGTGTGCGATGTGTGCGTCGCTGACGGTGCGGCGGCAGCGCTCTGGTGCGCTGGAGACGTCCCCTGCTCCCCTGCCCACCCACTTCCTCCCTGCGCGTGCGTTCCCCCCCCCCCGCAGCGTCGCTTCCATGCTGGCCGACATTCTTGTGAGCGGCTTTGGCGTGCTGGCCTTCCAGTGGCTCTCCAGCCCAGCATGCACCGAGCTGGAGCAGGTGAGCGGCTGCCTGCGGGTGTGCTCGGCGCTGCGGGCCGCCGTGCTTGCTGCCGCTCTCCAACCTTGCCGCTGTGCCCTGCGTCACGCATGCATGCGCGCGCACACACACACACACACACACACACACACACACGCACGCACACGCACGCACACACACACAGCCTCCTCCTGCAGATCTCTCTGGAGTGGCTGGCTCAGCTGCTGGACCTGCCGCCCTGCTTCCGCGCCGCCGCCCCCGCCGCCGCCGCCGTGCTGCCCGGCTCCGCCAGCGAGGCGGTGCTTGTGGCGCTGGTGGCGGCCAGGGCCCGTGCCCTGGAGGGTCGCCCGCCCGAGGATGCCACGAGGCTGGTGGCGTACGCCACAGGTGGCAGCGTGTGCAATGGCGTGCGTTTGCATGCTTGCCGCCGCCGCGACTGACGGGCTGTCGCGGCAGCGGGACAGCAACGCTGCTCGTGCACCGCCAGCGGCGGCAGCCGCTGGTGACGGCCGCCGGGGGCGAGGCTCGCAGGCAGCCCCCACACAGACGTGCCCCCAGCCCCTCGACCTGTGCTGGCTGCAGACCAGACTCACAGCTGCCTGGCCAAGGCGTGCCTGGTGACGGGCGTGCGCCACGTGCGCGTGCTGTCCACCCACGCCGCACGGCAGTTTGCCATGGAGGCGGCGGCGCTGGAGGAGGCGGTGCGGCGCGACGCGGCGGCGGGCCTGCTGCCCTGCTTTGTGTGCGCCACCGTGGGCACCACCAGCTCCTGCGCTGTCGACCCCGTGGGCGAGGTGGCGCAGGTGGCGGCGCGCCACGGCCTGTGGTGAGCTGCGGGGGGGTGGCTGGGGGTGGCTGGCGGTGCAGGCGGTGATGCTGGTGCCTCGTGGTGGTGGTGTGGTAGCACGGGTGGTGGTGATGGGGCTGGGGCTGGGGCTGGGGCTGGGGCTTCATCTCGCATGATGGGGGCTGGGTCTGGCTGTGGCCGGCGCGCGGGCTGCCTACCTGGATCGCTTGCCTTAGCGCGGTGGGCGCCTCCCCGTCTCCCCCGCCGCCCCCGGGTGCAGGCTGAACGTGGACGCCGCGTGGGCGGGCGCCTTTGCTGTACTGCCCGACCAGCGGGAGTTGTACTTCGGGGGCCTGGAGGGCGCCGACTCTCTGGACCTCAACCCGCACAAGGGCCTGCTCACAGGCTGGGAGTGGTGAGGCTGCACGGCCGCTGGCTGCCGCCAGGCTGCCGCCAGGCTGCTGGCGGGCTGCTGGCGGGCTGCTGCCTGCCACCCGCTGGTGGCGCCAGCCTGCCGCCTGGCTGGCTGTGCCCCGCCGCTGCCTCGGCTGCGCTTTAGCCCAGACAGATCTGCACCTGGCCCGGACCTGTTCCGCTCTGCCTGCCCGCTGCTGCCTACCACTGCAGGGAGAGTCTCCCTGCACAGCACAACCTGACCTCAGCCTGCCAAACCCTCCCGCCTCCCTCCTTGTCCCATACACAGCTCCGCCCTGTATGTGAAGGATGCGCGGTGGGTGAAGAAGGCGCTGACACCAGGAGTGCCAGAGGCGTACCTCCAGGACAAGTGCGGTGGTACCGCCACAAGTCGTGGTACCGACGGAAGCTGTGCTGCTGACAGCGGCGGCGGCGGCGGCGGCAGCGGCCTTGCCGCCGGGCCAGCAGAGGGCAGGGAGGAGCAGCAGGAGGAGGGCAAGGAGGACGCCGCTGCGGGCCCCGGCGCCGGCTCGAGCGATGGCACCAGCGGAAGCGGCAGCGGCAGCACCGCTGCGGCTGCAGGCGGCCCGGCCCGGCTGCCGGCGGTACCGGTAGATTTCAAGGACCTGGACGTGCCCCTGGGCCACGGCCGCTTCCGCGGCCTGCGCCTCTGGTTTGTGCTCCGCCTGGTGAGCCTGCCCGGCTCTGCCAGGCCCGCCGCCCCCGCAGCTCGTGACCACCCGCACCCGCACCTGTTTACCCTGCTTTAGCAGCCTGCTTTAGCAGCCTCGTGTCCCAGAGGGGCCTGTACACCGGTCGCATCTCGCTGGCAGCTGTGCCCCGACTGCAACTGCCGCTTCTCATGCGCTGCTCCTCTGGCCCTGCTCGCCCCGTCCCGCCCCGCGCTCTCGCCGCTGCCGCAGTACGGGGCCGAGGGCCTGCGCCGCCTGATGCGCCACCGCCTGCTGCTCCAAGACTTCCTGGCTGACATGGTGAGCAGGCGGGCAGGCGGCTGCCTGGGCTGGAGATATCATTGATGCGGCGGCAGCTGCATGGTGCCGGGCCCACGGCCGGGCGTGGCCGCATGTGTGTGCCTCCCCGCCGCCCTGCCTTCGCCGCCTGCCAGCAGCTCGCCGCCTCCAACCCTGGCCACGCCCATGGCCGCCTCTCCCTGCTGCCGGACCCTCCACCCGCTCTGCCGCCGCTCCTTTGCTCCCTGCACTGCCACCTGACGCCTCGAGCTGGTCTGCAGGTTCTGGAGGACCCTCGCTTCGAGCTGGTGCTGGGCGCGCCGCCGCGCTTCGGCCTCGTCTGCTTCCGCCTGCGTGGCAGCGATGCCGCCAACGCCGCGCTGCTGGATTCGGTCAACGCCTCGGGTGGGCTGGGTCTGGGCTGGCTGCCTGCCTGCCGGCGCGCGTGCAAAGAGGGGAGGCGGGGGCTGTCAGGGCGGAGGCTCAAGATGCCACGCTGCGGGAGCTGCGCAGCTGCTGTGCAAGAGCCGCCCGGGGCAGCCAAGCAGCCTGGCTCCGTGGGCCTTCACGCCATCACCCGAGGGCAGCCAATGCAATATGCGTGGACCGTTGTGCCGTGTGCGCAGGCGCCGCCTTCATGTCCCACACCACCCTGGCTGGTCGCTACGTAGTTCGCTGCGCCATCGGCGGCACGTGGACGCAGGGGCGGCACGTGGAGGCGGCGTGGCGCGCGGTGCAGCGCTGCGCCACCGGCGTGCTGCAGGAGGCGGCGGGCGTGGCGGATGGCTGAAGGGAGGCGCATTGCTGAGGTGGAGCTTGCACAAACTATGATTCCTTTGGATTAGAGCTGCGTAGTATCGCAGGCTGCGTCCGCCTGCGAAACCCAATTTTGGTTGTGGATATGCCCGGCAGCGCGGGTGCGCACCTGGCGCTGCCGCATCACTGAGCTGAGAAGATCTCTGCAGGTGCACTGTTCCTTGAATTGAACATTAAACTTTGCCGCTAGTTTGCGCATAGCTGCCCTTCCTCCAAATGCTCTCCATTTGATATCTCCTGATTTGATCATCCTGCTTGTTGCATTTAGCCATCTGCTGGCAGCTGACCAAGTGCAGCTAACCCATCACATCCTGTAAAGCTGGCAACCACTGCTGACGCCTGCAGCCCGTGCCGCCGCTCGGCACCCCTGCCGGCCAGGCAAGCGCCGTTGCGGCTGGTGCTGGTGGAAAGCCTGCATGCACCTGTGCACCTTCTGGAAGGGGGCCGCAAAGGGCACCGCTGAAGGGCACCGCTGCGCAGGGCTGCCATGCCCGCCCGCCTCCCGGCGCTTGCGCCCTCCGACAAAAACAGTCTGCAACCACCCATGTGCAGCAAGTGAATGCCACGGAGCCAGCTGTGGTGCTGCAGCTGGAAAAGGCTTCTGTGTCACATGCATGTGTGTCAGTATCGAGACGGCGGTACGCGTGTGGGATATCAAACAGGCGGGCTGCAATGAGACGATAGGAAGAATGGGGGCGGGTGGAGGGGTGGCAAGGGTCGGGCTCCCTTGGCAGACAGCAACAAAAAAATGGATCTCGCGCCTATGAAAGCGGCTTGGCGCCAATCAAAGAAGAGGCAGTTGGGTGTGCGGCGCGGCGCCGGGCAATGTGGGAAGCCAGGGCGGGCAGCGAGGGTCGGCCCTCATGCCGACCTCGGCAGGGCGGGGAGGCGAGGGGGCTGGGGAGGCGTGTCAAAACTGAATCGGGGAGTGTGTGGTGGTGTTCTCGGGGGTAGGGTGCAAGGGGGGGCGGGGTAACTTTCTTCTCTGTGTGGGGCTGGCAGCGGCTGCCACGGCGCTGGCTGGCTGGCTGTGACGGCATGCCAGCGGGAGGCACCCAGGAGCCTCCAGAAGAGCCGACCCGCGCCGTCCCAGCTGCGCAGCAACTGCAGGCACGCCGCCCAGCGCCGCGGCGCCCGGCGGCGCCAAGCAGGGGCCGCCCTAGCCCGGCGGCGGCTGCTTGGGCGGCCCCTGCTTGGCGCGCGCGGCCTGGCCTGGCCGCCTAGCTGAGCAGCGACTGCTTGGGGCGCATTCCCGAGTAGCCCTCTGGCAGGGAGGAGCCCGAGGAGCCGGCCAGCGCGGCGCCGCTCATGTACTCATCCGCCAGCTGCACCCGCTTCACATTCTCCTGCTCCTCCACCAGCAGGTTGCCTGCGGGGCGGTGGCGGGTGGGGAGGGGCGCGCGGGGAGGTGTGGGTCGAGTGTGGTGGGGTTGGGTGTCGAGGAACTCGGGTGAGCGGCAGGACAGGCGCAGCTGCCCCCCCACGCTCCGATTCTTCGTCGCCGCGGCGCCGCCTCCCGCCTCGGCCGTCCGCCCGCCCTCTGCGCCGCCCCGCTGCGCCTGCCCCCTGCACCGCCTTCCCTCCTGTCCCGCGCCCCGTACCACCTTCCTTCCTGTACCGCAGCGACCACCCGGGACCACCGGTACCGCTCACCGTACTTCATCAGCGTGCCCAGGTCCATGGAGGGCTTGTCGAACGTCACCTTGCCCTCCTTGCTGTTGATCAGCCGCTTGCCGATGTTCTCCACGCCCGTGCCCATGATCCAGTCGTGCACCTGGTGGGCGGGTGGGGGGGGGGGAGGGGCGAGGTGGAGGCAAAGGTGAAGGTGACGGTGAAGGCAAAGGCAAAGCCAAGCACCAGCAGTTCCGAGCACCACCACCGCCACGTGCCAGCAGCGCCAAGCACCACCCAGCACCACACACAGCGCACAGGGCGCGGCCGCACCACACGCAGCGCACACCGCACACCCAGCACCACACGGCACCACCCCATGCATCCCACACCGCACACCCGGCGCGTGCACCACGCACCACACAGCGCACACCACACCACCGCCCGCACCTTGTCGTCATACACGCGGGCGCGGATGGCTCCGAAGAAGTCGATCGACTGGCCGGGGAATGCGTCCACCAGCTTCTCCACATCGGCGCGGTCCACGTTGTCGTGCTGGAAGATGCCCATGCACACGCCGATGCGGTCCTCGCGGGTGGGGCTGCGGGGGCGGGTGGCGGGTGGCGGTGAGCGGTGGGCGTTTGTGTGTGGGTGACAGGGAGTGTGGGAGGGGGGGGAAGAGGGAGACAGGGAAAGAGAGAGAGGGAGAGGGAGGGGGAGAGAGAGCAGGCGGCGGGGGGCTCACGCAGGCAGAGCGAGCCAGCGGGCAAGCGGTGCAGGAGGGGAGTGGCAGGGAGAAAGCATC